AGGGTAGGGCACGGGTCCAACATTTTGGATCCGTATATCTCGACCCGTATAAGTACCCGCACCCGTTTACCTGTACCCGTTTGACCCAGACCGTACCCGGCCCACCCACCTGTTTTGCCAGGTCTAGACTAAGGGAAGTGATGGATTATCTCCATGATCAAGTCTGTAAGAATTGATGGGGTTGGAAATGTCCAGAAACAGGTTTTAGTCTAGAAAGAGGTTTTTGGAAGCAGCATCATCGTTTTTGGAAGCATCATCAGCCATTGAAGAAAAGAAAAAAAAAAATTTACTCTGTACCTCGCTCTGATACCATGTAGGAAGAATAATAAAAAAGGGACAAAGCAGGATGAAAATGCTATTGCATTAATTGTATTGAATTGAATGAAACTGTGCATGATGCCACTGCTTTATACAACGAAACAAAATGTAACAAACCAAAGAATGCTATACAGCTAGCATAACAAACCAAAGAATGCTATACAACTAGCATAACAACCTGCAACAAACTATAAAATCACATAATGGTACAAGGACACATCAGCTATGAATAAGACCATTTGGTAATTTTCCTGAACAATTATCATATGAGGTGTGTCCATCTGATGTAGAATGTGGTTGCATATCAGCGTCTTTGAGGATGCCACGAGCTGCTGCATTTGCATGAGATGAATTGATGTTGGACTGCTCTAATACAAGACTCCAATTCTTAGAAGCAAGTCATATTCCACAAAACAATTATGGTGGAAAACCACCTCATATTCCACCATAAGGTTACACAACAATTTTAAATATTTTCTGTATGTCTAAAGATTTAATTAAAAATAAATAAATAAATAAAGTGGAGTCTAACAAGTTACGCTTTTATCACATGCTTTCCTGGCTGACTGGAGTCTGACCTGCAGAAGAACCAAGTAACTAATAATATTGAAGGATTGTGCTACGGAGAAAGTTGCTCTGATCGATCCTGACACTTTTCTTCTTCTTTTCTTTCTTTCTTTCTTTTTAACATTATCTATAAATGCAGATAGAAGAGTTCATTTATATACCATATCACAGGAAGAAAATCAACTTTTACTTATCACGAGTTTTTGTTTTGTTTTATTTTATCCTATTATTTTAATCAAACTCCAACCTATGAAGGTTCTTAATTTCTCTGTACGCAATCTTAGAAGGGCTTGGTTAAACTCAATTACGTCGGAAGCAATCTTTATAACCTTTACTCTAAAATATAAGTTATTGTGATTTTAAAAATGTAATTTACATTATAGCCGAAACAAAATGAATTAATCAATGCTTAAGTACATAAAATTTAGTTATTTATTCTTTTGTTAAAGATTGGGGAGCAAAGTGATTCATAATAATAAGTTTAATTATTAGTCAGTCACTCAGTAACAAAATTTTTATTTTTTCATAGTCCCTTTTATTTAATAATATATTAATATACTAAACTTTTATTTATATAAAATAAAAAATGGATAATACTTCATACACAAAATTTTTATACAAACTTATGTGTTTTTTAGATGATTGGATGTTTTAAATTAAAATTTAATTAAATAATTAAATAACATTATATGTCTAACATACAAAATTGTCATATCAGTTTATAGAAAATAGTTTGTACATATAGCATTATTCTAAAAAAAAAATATATATATATATGTTAAGTAAGCTTTTAATTCTTTAAATTTCAAATCATAAGATGAACTTAGAAAATCAAAATGCTAAGAGAAGGAGAATGTCCGCGGTGCATAACCCACAAATAATACATTTTAATTTTCATTTAACCCAATTAACTAGGACTACTAGGGGCTTTAGCCAAAATCAAGCAAAAATTGATCAATGGCTTGAATCAAGGAAAGCTTGATTTTGGCCATTAACATAATTCATTAGCATGATTCTAGCATGTATGTAATGTATAAATAGAGAGCTCTTGTACATTGGAAAACATACACTTGAATATACAAATTCTTTCTTTGTCTTTCTCTCTAGAATTCTAACATGACATCAGACTAGCCTAGATTTAGCACCATGAGTTGTTATTTCTATGGTTATATGCATATCTAAGAAAATTTTGTCATCAAGACGATAATAGTCTAAGGAAGCTGAGTTTTAAGTGGGACCATTTGTGACCCCTCCATTATTTCTTGGGAATTTTCCTGATGCATGTTGAATTATATTAACATGGCACTTACTACTATCTAGGGCTATTGCTCTATGCCATCTAAGACCTCTGCCTTTGCCATTACCATCATTTGCCTTTGCCATGCTTCTGTACGCATCCACACACACCTTGCCTTGTCAACATTGCCACGTGAGTGTTGATCTTATTGTGTTTGCCGCTCTTTTGTCACATCATTATTGACACATCAATATCTTCTTGCTAAGTCAGTAATGACACATCAGTAGTGCATTTGCCAGATCATTGGTGACATGTCATCATTGGCTTTTCTCATTAGCATTGACTTTGCCTTATTCTAGCATTGAAATTCTTATCTTTCAATGGACAAATGGAGATCCAACATCCAATTTCTGGGATTTTAGATGGCACTAATTCTTAACCTTATGGAGTCAAGGAATAAGGTCTTTTCTAAAAGGACGAAAACTTTGGCGTTATGTGATTAGCGTTAAAACACAAGTTAATGGAGACATTGAAAAGGATAACAAGTTTAGTCAAAGACTTGATGATTGGGATATCAACAATCACCAGATTATTATATGGTTCTGGAATACTTCTATTCCATCTATTCATCTCTATTTCGGCTACTATGAAACTGCAAAAGAAGTATTAGATATGCTTGCCACTCGGTTTACTATCAAAGGACTTTCTCATCAGTATCAACTCTGGCAGTTTGCACAACACATGAAGCAAAAGCCCACTCAGTTTATTATAGATTTTCATGCTTAGATGCATATTGTGTGGGATCAGCTAACTCAATCTGATCTTAGCTGGACATGCACTACCGATGTCATTCAATAAGAAAAACATTGTGATCATATGTGTTTGATCTAGTTTTTGATGGCTCTCACCCCAGAATATGAGTCTACTTGATCCATACTTCTCCATCATGTGCCTTTGCCAACTTTGTACACAGCTCTCTCTAAACTCTAGTCTGATGAGACTCGGTTTCACACCCAGGGTATAAAAAATCAGATGTCATCCTTGCCATTATTCTTGACAAGCAATCTCTAGCTCGTCTGACCAAACAATTTGATTCACCTGTTTGCAAATATTGTCACCAGAATGGACATCTCATTCTTTATTGCGCAAGCTTTTAGTGTAATTATTGCAAAAAGAAGGGTCACGCCAAGTCTTGTTGTCCTCAGCTTGGAAAATCCTGATCTTCTTCACATTTTGTTGCTATTGCCATTGAGACATCCCCAGTTCCATCACAGCCTACCCTTCATGATATAAAGTCTCTCCTTTAAACATGTTTTGTCTCATTCTTCTAGTCCTCACACTGCCTTGCCACTACTTCAGGTACTATTCTCTGGCTCATTGATTGTGCCTATTGTAATCATATGACTCTTGGTTCTTCAGTCTTATCTAATACATCTCTTAATTAAAATACACATGTCATTCATACTATAGATGGTTGTCATATGCATGTTAGTCATATAAGAATTGTCTCTACCCAATACTTTTCTCATTCTACAACTCAGATATAATCTTGTTTCTGTTGGTCAATTGTGTGAAATCGGTCTTGACATTACCTTTTCTCCTCACGGTTGTCATGGGCAGGATTCTCAGACGGGTTGGATTCTTGCGACGGGGCATAAGATGAGATGCTTGTTTAATCTCACCTCCGTAGCTCCAGCTTTCAACTTCTAAAGTATCTCTTCCTTGTCAGTCGCATCTACCTTATCCACTTCTCACTTATGGCATCTTCATTTAGATCAAATTTCCCTAACAAAATTACATTCACTTGTTTCCAATGGTCGCCTTGGTTTTTATAAACTTGAAACATTTGATTGTGTGTCATGTCTTTTGTCTAAACAACCTGCTTTGCCTTTCAATAATAATGACTCTATTTCTTGCTCTCCATTTGATTTAATTCACACTGATGTTTGGGGTTTCACATCAACCTGTACTATGGGAGGTTCACAATATTTATCATTTTTATAGATGATTTTTCTCGTATATATTTCCTGCATAAAAGGTCTGAAGTCTCTCAAACTTATAAAAATTTTGAGACCATGGTACTCACACAATATTCCAAGAAAATCAAAATGCTTCATATTGATAATGCCATGGAGTGTTGTGATTCCACCCTAAATGAATTTCTTCTTGCCAATGGAACCATCATTCAGAGATCTTATATATATAATTGTACAATAATATTCTAATTTTGTGGACAATTATTGATAAGATTGCATACAAAAGAACATATATTTAATTTTATTTAATTTTATTTTTTTAAGGAAATGAGATTATGTTATTGTGACTCAATTTATACATTTATATAATTGTCTAATATACATGTAAATGTTAATATTTATACATATATATAATACCCCTACATCCCCATCTGGGGACGAGCTGGATTCGAGGATCTCCTCGAGCCTTCGGGCCGGGCTTGGAGACAGGGGTCCTCGGCCTCGGCCCAGCTTGTGCCCATCCCTAACTAGGACATTGTTTACTTCCCAAATATAAAAGCAAGTGAAAAGCCTTCGTTTTCCACCAAACGATCCACAAGTGGAGGACTCCATTAGCATTCCACTTTATGTACAAAAGAATAGTCTTGCATGCCTGATAAGGAAATGGATACAAAATATGCAAAAAAAGGTTAAGTTTTCCAGCAATTATTATTCCACTAATTGTAATAAAGAAAAAGTATGCAGTGGTACCGTAATTAAAAGTTCGATTACAAAGCTTACACTTTTCTAGTTTTCTTACTTCCGAAGATAGGAAATTTGGAGTTTACTTCATCCAGTCTTCATTACAAAAATTTATGCAGTGATAATCTATATAAGCAAACTATCTTTGATATACTAAACACAAACCTTAGCTTCTTCTTCTTACACCTTTAAGTGAAGCTGCTATTTCTTATTTTTCTTTGCCAAATTAGTAACCTTCATTTCTTCCTGTTCAATCACTTCTGCGGCGAAATTTCAAGAATGACTGAGAAAGAAGAAAAACAATCTCGTATTTCTGTTTGTTTGTTGTTTTTTCAAGTAGCAATCTTATGGACTTTGATCTCCTTGGTCGTATGGATATCTTTGAAGCCAAAGAGTCCCGTTTACAACATAACCACTCACCTTGCAGCCTTACACAAACCGAATTCAACGTTTCACAATGAGGAATTAGCCATGCGAAACATTTCTATCATCCTTAACTTGGAAATATCAAACCCCAACGAACGAATTGGCATCTGTTACGATGACATCAACATAACTTTACTATACAATCATACATTACTTGGCACCGAGTCCTATCCAGGTTTCTACCAGGGCTACAGTAAAACTGCTATACGCCAAGTGAGGATGATAGTTCACCCACAGTTGAGGAGAGTTATTTGGAGCAACTCTATGGACGTGAGGGTCTGCTTGGGAACTTCTGTTAGGTATAACTATAAGATATTCAAATACAAGACGACGCATCACCGGATGGATATGGAGGCATGCGTAGGCATATATAGGTTGAGATGGGAATCAGCAGAGAAGAATATAGAGCTACACCAGATTATGCTGAAACAGATAAAACATGGAAGAAGGTTTTTTCAAAAGACACTAGATTGTCAATATTAGTTCATTTCTCAAGTTTGTAATACGTTTCCTTTATATGATTAATGATACATATTTCTTATCTTTACTCTTTGTCGATTAAACACAACAATATATCACCGTTGTCGACCAATGAAACTATCTCATTCTTGCTTTGGTGTTATATAGTTTAATTAAAATTTACTAGGAAAGGATGATCTTTATTAATGGTTATGTGAGTAAACTACATGTTCCCACCCAAGGATGTAAAGTTCCCAACTGGTTTCATAAATTTTGGATTCTCATCCTTAAATTAACACTGTTAATAAATTTTGACTTTTGAAACAGTTAAGAGTGTGCTATTACTTTATTGCCCTCGACTTTTGATCTCACAGCCACCCAGCCACCACCTTTCACCACCACCACCACCACCATCTAGCCACCACCACCCAACACCACAAACTCAGCCACAAAACCACCCAAAACTCAGTCACAATCATCATCACCACCCAGCGTCGCACCACCACTCTTATCCAATTGCCCCAGCTAGCTGCATATGTGAAACCCAATCACATCATAGCTCTTCTCCCTCACCACCGACCTCAAAAAGCAAAAGCAAATCCCTTGGACTTTTCCCAAACACTTGGGGGCAGTCACAGAAAACTTCAAAAATATCAACTTCAATCCATCAATCAACCTAAAAAACACCAATAATATACAACAAAAACAATCAAACACCCCAACAAATCAACAAGAAATCAAAATCCGTTTTCAATCTCTCAACAAAATCCAACAACCAACAATTTTCCAAAACTCAGCTACGACAAAGGCAGCCGCAGAAATGCCCGACTGTGGCAAAGCAGCTGGAAGGGCAAAGATCAGCAGCGGAGTATCCCAGTAGTAAGTGGAAGCTGTTTGATTTTGGCCACTGTAAGGCCATCACGTTGTGGCCAAATTTGGCAATAGCGTGATGGTCTTAAGGCGGTCAAATCTAGTCACCACAAAGCCTATTCCGAGAAGTGAGAAGAGGGAAGAAGTAGGAGGAAGAGAAGAAGAAGGAGAGGAGGAAAAGAAAAGAAGAAGAGGTGGCAGTAGCTCAATGACTATTTTACCCTTTCACCGTTTCATTGAACATTTTAATTTTAATTTAAGAGTGGAATATGGAATTTATGAAACCAGGTATTTTACTTAACCTAGGGTGGGAACATGTCTTTTGCTCATGGTTATGTATCATAAAAGTTTATATCCACTTTATATGCCTAACTTTTATTTTACTGGTAAGAGAGATAAAGATTCTTTTTTTTTTTTTTTTTTTTAAGATATAGTAAAATAAAGAAATGAAAAGTTATATTTTAAGGTTGATAATAGTAAAAATTTGCAAATTTGAGGCTTGTGAGAAAAATTTTACTGTTCTAACTAGCTAAGGTTAGTTAGTAGATCTGCCAGCGTTGATGGCAAATTAATGTAGAGATTATGTTATAACTAGAACTTTATAATCTTCAACTAATCCCTCCGCCACAACAATCCTCACCAAGATTGAATACAGAACAAGTACTATAGGAAAATTTCGAAGAAAGGAATCTCTCTCTCTCTCTCTCTCTCTCTCTCTCTATATATATATGTTCTGATATATAGAAAATTTCTCCTAGTTTTATGTTTAGTTATAAGTTAAAATTCACTTATAAAAATTTGATTTTTAGGCTAATTATTAAGGAGCCAAATTTGCTTGTTCGCTTCGCACCAGAAAGCTTTCAAGAACTGTTCAAGAATGAGTACTCAAATCTTGTTTCAGCAAACCCACCGAATCAAAATGTTGAAAGTGTTTCTCTGTCTGAATAGAGAGTCTTAAAGTGCAAAATATTCCGAGGTATAGAGAACGGAGTTTCCATGTAGCTACTTTATGTGGCCCATAAAAGCAAAAAGAACACTCCAAACGAAAGAAAAGCATCTGTTCCTTATCCTTGGAACTTTGATGACTTGTAAATGTTATATGCTCCTTTCGATTGGCACCATTCAAAAGCAAGTGCTACGCCTTTCACCTTTTGTTACTGAAAATATTGCCTCCCTAAGAAACCATTTTTCTATCATCCTTGAAAATCTCTTCCCAACCTCTCCACAAACATATTAATAATAATGTGCGAAACAAAGAACTTCTATCTTTGGCTTCTCCAAATTGTAAGCCTTTTGGGCCTTCTTGTCCTCTGTTTATGGCTAGGTTTACGTCCCCAGAACCCAACTGTTGCCGTTGTGGAAATCTCAGTTCCACCCATAGATAATAGCTCTTCACCAGCCGCTGATGGAAAACAGAATGGCTCCCTCGCATATAACCTTGAAATTAAAAATCCAAACAAAGACTCTATTATCTGGTTTGACGTTATTTCACTGACATTCTTCCATGGCCAGGATACAGCTGCAACAGATAGAATTTCTTCTTTCAAATTACGAAAGGATGCCACTCAATATAGGGCAAATCATTTGGATGTTGATGGGCGTGTATGGAAAGCTCTTCGCAATGCATTATCAAATGCAACGGCTGAATTAAAAGTGGAGTTTCTAACTGGAATTCGGTTTAAGACTATAGGCATTAAGAGTAAGCATCATAAGAATCACAAGTTGGAAGGTAAAGTGAAGCTTGGTAAGGATGGGAAGATTTCAGGTAAGAAGAAGAAGATTAAACTAAAGCATTCATCCAAGAAATGGAGAATAAAGCTGGGTTCTCAATTCAACTGATTAGAACTGTAAACATATATTAGTTTTGTTTTATATTGGGTTGAGGTCATACTACCAAGTATAATACTTTCCTCGTTTTTTGTTTTATTTGTACTTTATTTATCAATATTGTATACGAAGAATCAAAGGATTTCACTGTTGTCAATCAAAGGGGCTGTTATGTAATGTATGTATAAAGGATTGGTTGATTTGTTTGGTCTCAATTATGTAATAAAACCGAATTGAATTTAATCTAAGCAAAGTAATAAGGCCAGATAATAAATAGAGAACTATTTGAAACTGAGAGTGGTAATCCTGTTCCTAAACTTGACTAGCATTAAAATGACAATAAAAAAAAATAAAAATAAAAAAGCCGCCCAGGTAATTAAGTAATGAAAGCAAACATAAACCCACACTGCCATATTTCTGAACTAAACTGTTCTTCTCTTTAGCATTTAATTGTTGTTGTTCTCCTTTTAATTAATTGAGAACCCAATCCAACTCACTTGAAATCATCTTGATGTAGAATTTGAAATTTATTTGTTATTATATTACATTAGGTCTCGGATAATCCTAAGTAGATATTGGTTTTGAACCGAATAACTGAAATATATATTCCACGATGCAGATTGTTTTGATCAACTTTTACAACAGCAATTTGTATGCAACTGTGCCATTAATATTCTTCATACTAACGCTGTAGGCAATTAAAGATTTCAACACTCTGTATAGATGTTAAAATCTGCAATGTAATAAAGTTAACAGAATAAAACAAAAAATAATATAAAACTGAAAAAGATAGACAAGGAAAAAAGATCACTCCATGCATTAAATAATTACAGGGATTAAATAATTCACACATAAGAGTCGATTTCAAAGCGATCGAGTTGCAATTGGGCTACTTATTATGAGAAACTACTTGCTTAGTGGATAGTCATTACATAGACACCGTTGTACTTAAGTATCACCTTGCATTGACCATAACTTTGGATGCATTGCCTCTGTGCTTTGGAACCGGATGAAGTAAGTACCGATGATAATGTGGGTAAATGGGTTGGGGTCTGCGGGTTTCAACCTATTTGGGAGGCCCCATACTCAGCCCAATTAAAATTGCAGTAAGATTAGGTTGTCCCAATCTTAACCTATTCATTTGGGTTGGGTTTGAGGTACCCTATACCCAACCCATTATCCAAACTTAATTAAGATAAGGGCGAACCACATTTTTCCACCCAAGGTTTGGCAAAATAACACTTTCCTACCCACCTTAATGTTCGGTTACAAATCCGTTACTGTCTGACTATAAAGACGAAAACACCCTTTATTATTTGACTTAACAATTTTTTTTATTATTTTATGTCATGTCAACAATAATATACCCCTCTGTATATATGAAATTACTAATATACCCTAACTATATATCAAATTTGTGTGTCCAATTTTTTATTAAAAAATAATATTTTCAATCAATGACATTACGTTAGATTTTTAAAATTTGAAACCTTTAAAATTACTAGTTCGTCCCTATAGTTGCTACAATTAAACTGGCATTTATGTTTAAATTTTGTCAATTTAAACCCAAATAAATTTAAGTGTTAGCACTACTGATTTTTTTTTGGGTAATTGATAATATTATAAGAATAAAGAATAAGCTATCCGGAGATAACCTCTCATCAACGTGTCCCAAACAAAAAGGAAACCCTAACAAGGAGAAAAACCTTTACAAAGGCGAAGTCTTTGAGCAGGACCACAAACTCAAGCACAAAATGCCAGCAAAAACAAGAGCAATCACGCGCCAACAACAACTTAGCACCTGGAAAACTCAACGCGCCAACAACAACTTAGCACCTGGAAAACTCACAGCAGCAGCATTAAAAGGCTAAAAAAAACACCCACACCAGCAAGATCAACACACACCACCACAACAGCCCACACGGCAGCAAGAAAATAACAACAACACGGCATTAGCAACTTAGCATTACTGATTTGCTAAAGTAAGAATCCAAACTGTAAATTAACAATGCATATATATATATATATATATATATAAAAGAAATTTTGTCAATTCAAACCCAATAAAAACAGGGAATTCAAAACAAAGAAAACAACTTTTCCAGTTTCTCATTCATTTCTTAAAATCCAAAAAGTTTTGCTTTCACCCTCCCACTTTCTAGCTCCTTGAAGTTTGTTTTTCCTTTGCTTTTTGGAGATTAAAAACCTTCTTTACAATCTTTTGCTCTTCCACCAAGAAACCTCGAATTTGATGTATTATTTTCATCCAAAGTTACCATCTTCAGTGCCTCTTCAACTGCCTTAGGAGGCTAATCTCCATATAATTTGGTGTCAACGCATTGCTTCACCTTATCTTCACTGAGTTTTGGGTTGCCTAAAACAATCCAGAATTGCATAAAAATCAGCTTGATTGAGGCTTTCATCACACGCCAAATAAATAACTAGAAGTAATAAGCGAAATTCACCACCCACTTTCATCACACAACTTCAGCCAAAAAGCACTACACGGAGTACGTAAAATCTAATAGAGAATGTCGTGAAAGATATGTTCAAAGTCTATGATAGATAGTCTTCTTGAACAAACCTCTAGAACCCAAATGGGGACTCCAACTTTACATAGCCAAAGCAACCATAAGAATTCTGTGACATTAAAAGCAATATACCACTCAGCAATTTACCTTCTTATGGCGATTGTGTTGGGCCAAAAGTCATCAAATTGAAGTACCGCATATTATCCTCCGATGGTGAAGCACTTGTCCCGGGAGCTGTATCCAAAAACCACAAAATCAACTCCACCGAAACCCAACCAAACAAAACTAAATGCACATAACTCAAAAATAAAAACAAAAATAAATAAATAAAATATGCGGAGAGTTAATCAAGTATTCACCTGGTTCACTAACGAAACGTTGAGTTTCCTGTTTGGATCAACAAAAAAAAAAAAAAAAATTCAAAACACAACACAAAATCATCGACAACAAAATCCTAATTTCACCATCCAATCGAAAGCAAAGATCTCAATTAATTAAACTCCCTGTATTACACAATCAATCCAATCAATAAGAGAGAGAATCGGAGGAAATTAGAGCATCAAACTAAAAGAACAAGTAATCCTTCCCATACAGACTTCAATTGACGAAATTGGATCGGTTTTTTAAACGAAAGCGATCTGAGAAATAGAGAAACCAATCGAAATAGAGAGAAAGAGAGCGTAACCTTGATTATTCGTCGGGGGAGATTAATGTTAGCCATTGCTGAGATCGAATCGTTTCAGTTGTTGCAGAGAAAAAACGCTAATAGGGTTTTTTTTTTTTTTTATGACTTTTTTGTCTACTAAACACAGAGAGTCAGAGAATTTAATAAGCTGAAGCGAGAGTGCAACAAAGTCCAGTGTCAAGGCTCACATAAATTGACTATCTTGCCCTTCTTCAAAACGGATTTTTCCAACGGAATATAGCGGTGGGTGAGAAAATGTCGTTCTCCCTTAAGAAAATATTATAAAATAAAAAACTAAAGTAAAACAATTTTTTACTTGACTTTAAAAAATTTCTTCAAAATTTTATTAACAAAAAAGTTAAGAACAATAGTATATCACCATCATATAAAAATATAAATACGGTAAAATAACTTTTTTATTAATTCAATAAAAAAATAATGATCTGGTCAACTACCACTCAACATCGTAAGAAGTGGTGTGTTTGTCACTACTGCCAGGCCTATCAGGATTGGATGGCGAAGATCTATCAAAATCCAGTCGCTCCACTAAATTTCAACATCCCATTTGGCCGCAAAAGGCAGTCGAAACTTTTGTCGCCTTTTGCGACAAAAAAAAGTGTTAGAATCGTCAAACTTCAATAGATCGTTGCCTTTTGATCTCAATGAGACTGTTTGTGTCACTTTTTCTGGTTTTAACCTTCGATTGATTACTGTTGACTAACGGCGATGGTGAATCTAAATTTTTTTATAAATATATCAAAGTATTTATTTAATAAATTAAATGTCTATTTAAATTTATTTAGTAGTTTGAAGAATGTTGTAGGTTATATTTGTCACCTTAAGATTGCTTCAGATATAAAAATTTATAATTTTAATATTTATAACATTATTAATGATAATTATGCTTAAAAATAGACATTTCATTCTGGACTATTTAAATATTCTAAATAGTCCATAATGAAAGATTTAATAACTATTTCTATATTGATAAGTTTGAAGAATTCTTCGTTTACATCTCTTGCATTTTTTACGACTAATTTGATAAGATTATCAAGCCAAAACAGGTTTGTGACCTTTACGTGCTACTTATTGGAATGTGAAACAAATAGTTAAATAAGAGGAAAAAACATTGTTTAAAAAAAAATAACATTCTTTAAATGAGTAAGTCTTTCAGCAATTCATTATTATCCAGATTAAATTGCATCATTATAATTTTAAATCAATAATCCTATTAAATGAACCTACTGTGTTGATGCTCGATTTTAGTTGCCTAGGTAAACGGTCATTTCCTAGCCTAGAATCCACGACACTTGCCCCCTCTCGCATGAAAGGATGTGGAATTTGACCTACAATGCAACAACAGTCAAATGGGGCTAGTGGGCAGGGCCGGCCCAAGTGGTAAGCTAGTGAGGCACCTGCCTAAGGCTCCTCAAAAAAAGGCCCAAAAAGGAGTCTAAAATTATTTTAAGTTTTTTTTTTAATAGGTTTACCGAAATACCATTAGGCCTAAAAAAAGTTTATAATTTTTTATCCAAGCCGGTCCAAAGGGCCAAAAAAACCAAAAATGTCCAAATTCATTATAATTTTTTTACATAAATTTACAAAAAACTATGTTTCATATTTTCCATTCACATCCCTAAATTAACAAAAGCTAAAATAGTAATTTATATGTCTAAATTTCAAAACACCCATTCAATCCCTAAAATAACGAAAACATTGTATCTCCACCCCTCTACACCACCATAGTGCCACTGCCGACATTAAAGTGATGATTACGATTGATTTTCTCACCAAAATCGATCGGAATCATCACTTTATCATTTCCTAAGCATTTTCCCAGCCTTGATATCCCCAATTTGGCCGATTTTTGCTAATTTTCGCAACCCATCTCCATTCTCCACTGTGTGCGACAACCATTTCCAACATGTATCCGCCGTCATTGACCTTTTTCGACGCCGCCATCTTCCTCTCCTCAGCCCTCTCTTCAAAACCCCCCACTTACCTAACCCTGTTAGCCCACCGGTCACCGTCCACCTCTCTTAATTTTTTTTTTTTTCAATTGAGTTTGCTAATGATTTTTGGTTTTGTGTTTTATGGTAATGGTGATCTCTTTGGTAATTGGTTGATTGGAGTTGTTTGTTTTAGATGATTTCTGGAGTTGATTGACTGTTTTTGGTGTGCTTCGGTTTTGGCTGCGGTGGACCGGTGGTGGTTTGGTCGGCTAGTGTTGGGAAAGAAGAAGGGCCAACTAGTGGTTTGGAAATTGGAATGGGGTGGTTTGGAATTTAGCCATTAAGGGTGTGAATCTGCAATTTAGGAAACCAGGGGTACCAACATGATTTCAACAAACCTTGGGTGAGTATATGTCATTTACTTTATAATTTCCCAATTCCCATCAATCCTACCTTCTACCGCCTATCTCTGTAAGCTTGAAACACATTGTTGGCTCAATTTTTCCATTGAGACACCTTGGTTGCTGCAATCTCACAAGTCTCAAATGTCAAATCACAATCTCCTCTCTCTCCCAAGTCCAAATGATAACCTCTTATATCAATTCACTTATCCAAGTTATCTCTCATTTCACTCCAAAAATTCAATGTTCTCATTTTTTACTCTTAGCATTCTCAACTCATTTTACTCTCAAGTCTCAGCTTTCTCATCTCTTTTCTCTTAGCTTTCTCATCTCTATAGACAAAAATTTCTCCAGTGAATGTGTGATTTACATTATTTTTTTTATGTAGGGCAATATTAAGGGCTCTAAATCATTTTACTCTTAGCATTCTCAACTCATTTTATTTTATATTTGATCAAGTGAATGTATGATTTACATCATTATTTTTATGCAAGGTAATAATATAAGATTTTGCAATTTCAGCATAGCAGAAAGCAAAATTAGGAGCATAATTCAGGTGCTAAAGTTCCTTCTTAATTTTTATAATTATTTTTATTTTAGCAAAATAATATTAAAAGCTCTAAATTATTTATTCTTTGAATAGAATTGTCTACTAGAAAGTATGAATCTAGATTTGAAAAACGTAAGAAAAAAAAAAGATAGAAGAACTAATTCAATCTCAAAAAGGTGCACTTGATAGATTTGTTATTAATATGAAACACTAAATGCTAAAAAAACCAAATGAATATTTAAATGAAAAATCAATTGAAAATTGCGAAGAAACTTTTAAAGATAACAATTCAAATTCATCAAATACTAGTAAAAAATATCATAAAAATTTAGAAGAATAAATGTCATTCGACAAGAATGAAAATATTAATGATAAAGAGGAAACAACAATTAAAAATATTTATGATCCGGCACACTGGAATAATTTAGACACAAGCTTATGTGATTTATTAGTTGAGAAATGTCCAAATAGACAAGTTTTAGATTTTCCAAGAGATGAAAATTTTAGACGCTTTTCTGCAATTCATTACATTCGAAAATTACCAAATGGAGAAAAACATGATAGAAAATGGCTAGTATATTCAAAAGAATTAGATAAAGTATTTTATTTTTGTTGTAAATTATTTAGTTTAAAATCAAATGCAATTCAATTAGCAAATGAAGGATGTGGAGATTGGAAAAATCTTAGTGTCAAGCTTAAAAGGCATGAAACAAGCAATGAATATGCCATAAATATGAACATTTGGGTTGATGTTGAGATGTGATTGTTTAAAAACAAAACAATTGATAAATGTTTATAAGAGAAAATAAATAAAGAGAAAGAGCATTGGAAGAATGTACTATTAAGAATTATAGTAGTTGTAAAAAATCTTTCAAAAAATAATTTGGCATTTCGTAGTACAAATGAGAAGATTTATCAAGAAAATAATGGAATTTTTTTGAATTTAATTGAAATGATTGCTGAGTTTGATCCAATAATGCAAGAACACCTTAAATGTATTCAAAATGGAAAAATTCATACTCATTATCTTGGTCATAATATACAAAAGGAGTAGATAAATATTTCAGCATTAGAAATAAGAAATACGATTATTAAAAAAAATCAAAGAATCAAAATATTTTTCAGTTATACTTGATTGTACCCCAGATACAAGTCATCAAGAACAAATGTTTATATTAAAATATGTAGATATTTCAATAAGTCCAATAAAAATAGAAGAGTACTTTATAGATTTTATAAAAGTTGATGATACTTCTGGTCAATGTCTTTTTAATGTACTCACAAGTATACTAAAAAATCTTGAACTTGATGTAAATAATGTGAGAGGACAAGGATATGATAATGGGTCTATTATGAAAGGTAAACAACAAGGTATGCCAAAAAGATTAGTATATATAAATTCTAGAACATTTTATACACCATGTGGTTGTCACAATCTTAATTTAGTTATTTGTGATATGACTAATTCATGTGCTAATGCTATTACATTTTTTGGAGTGACACAACACATATACTCATTATTTTCTTCTTCTACAAAACAATGGGAAATTTTGCAAGATCATGTTTCTAATTTGACACTTAAGCCATTATCACAAACACGTTGGGAAAGTCGTGTTGTAAGTGTTAAAGCAATAAAATTTCAATCTTCACAAATAAGAGATGCTTTATATCAATTAGCAGAAACTAGTGAAGATCCTAAAACAAAAAGTGAAGCTATTTCTTTAGTAACATATGAGATTGAAAATTTTGAATTTCTATTAGGCATGATTATTTGGTATGAAATGTTACTTGCTGTTAATACGGTTAGTAAATATTTACAATCTAAAAATATGGACATTGTTGTTGCAACAAATTAGTTGAAAGATCTTGTTTCATTTTTTTGAAAAATATAGAGAAACTGGGTTTACATCTGCAATGATTTATGCTAAAGAGATTGCAGAGCAAATAAATATATAACCAAAATTTTGTGAAAAACGTACAATAAAGAGAAAAAAACAATTTGATGAGAATGAAATGAAGAGATGAAATTGTCTGCTAAAGAATCTTTTAGAATAAATTATTTCACATATTTAGTTGATCATGCAATTTCTTCACTTCAAAGTAGGTTTGAACAATTTGAAATATATAGTGACAATTTTGGTTTCTTTTATAGTATAGAAAAGTTAAAATTGCTTGATGATGATAATTTGAAGAAAAATTGTTTAAATCTTGAAAACTGTTTAAAACATGACATGC